CACAGAGTGTGAGAAAATACTCACAGTACGTATTCACATATAAAGGACTTGTTACTCAGAATATTAAAGTATAATAACAAATAATATATTCTTATAATACAAATAAAACATGGGCAAAAGATGTGGATAGACACTTTACAAAGGAATAATATGTGGGTGGCAAATAAGTAAATGCAAAGATGTACAACATCTTTATTTGTTAGAGAAATGCACTTGAAAAATCACTGAGGGACAACTACGCATCAGTAGAGGTGGTATAATTGAAAGGCTTAAAATACCAAGTGTTGGCAAGAACGGAACAGCTATATTGGCATACACCGCTGTCAAGAGTGGAAAATAGTTTGACAGTTTGAGTTCGCTTGTATGATGAAATGCTAGAAAATACACAATGATAGGAAATCAGTGGTTGTGCGGGATGAGAGAAGGGGAAGGAAAGGGAATTGCCTCCTGAGCCACCCAAAGGAGGTTTTTAGGGTTCTGTATTTTTAGTGTTAGTTACATGAGTGTATACAATTGTCAAAATTCCTTAAATTGCACATAACGTGGGTGCATTTTTTAAATATAAACATACTTCAGCAAAGTTAATTTTAAAAATAAAACTAGGTTGAGTGTGATGGCTCATGCCTATAATCCTAATGCTTGGGATGCCTAGGTGGAAAGATCCTTTGAGGTCAGAAGTTCAAGACCAGCTTGGGCAACATAGCAAGACCCTGTCTCTGCAAAAAGATAAAGGAAAATATTAGCTGGGCATGGTAGCATGCACCTATAGTCCTACCTACTCAAGAGGCTGAGACAGGAAGATTGATTAAGCCCAGGAGTTGAAGGTTGCAGTGACCTATGATTGTGTGCCACTGTGTTCCAGTGTTGGCACCAGAGCAAGACCTTGTCTCAACACCCCTTTCCCTGCCAAAAAACAAACAAACAAACAAAACCCATTATAAACAAAAACCTGTTTCCTACTTGCTCCACATGAGCCTAGTGGTATAGATCCTACTCTTGGAGGAAACCGGACTGAGCCTGTATTTGTTGATTGGCTAAAATGGCAGTTCAGTTTTTGTGAGATTTCTATATTGCCTAACAAGGAAGAGCAAAGAACTGCTTCTTGGATGGCCGAATGTGGTGGCTCACACCTGTAACCCCAGCACTTTGGGATGCCCCAAGCAGGAGGATCACTTGAGCCCAGGAGCTTGATATCAAGCTGGGCAACATGACAAGACCCCATCTCTACAAAAAAAATAAAAAAACTAGGCCAGGCATGGTGGCTCATGTCTGTAATCCCAGCACTTTGGGAGGCCAAGGTGGGTGGATCACCTGAGGTCAGGAGTTGGAGACCAGCCTGGTCAACATTGCAAAATCCCGCCTCAACTAAAAATACAAAATTTAGCTGGGCGTGGTGGCAGGTGCCTGTAATTCCAGCTACTTGGGAGGCTAGGCAGGAGACTTGCTTGAGCCCAGGAGGCAGAGGTTGCAGTGAGCTGAGATTGCACCGCTACACTCCAGCTTGGCGGATAGAGTGAGACTCTGTCGCCAAAAATAAATAAATAAATAAAAAGCCAGATGTAGGGGCAGGGTGTGTACCTGTGGCCTCAGCTACTTGTGAAGCTGAGGATCACTTGACCCTGGGTGGTCAAGGCTGTATTATGCCATGATCATGCCACTGTACTTTAAGAAAAGGCTGAGAGATACTTTTTTGGTGGTAAAATATACATAACATAATCCTTACCATTTGAATGATTTTAGGTGTACAATTCAGTAATATTAAGTTCATTAACATTGTTGTGCAATCATCACTACCATCCATCTCGAGAACCTTTTCATCTTCCACACTTAAATTCTATACTCATTAAACAATAAGTAGCTGTATTCCCTTCCTGTCATCCCCTAGCAACCATCATTCTACTCTTTATCTCTGAAAATTTACTGCTTATAAGTAGAATCATACAATATTTGTCCTTCTTTGTCTGGCTTATGTATCAGAATATCCCTCCTTTTAAGGGTGAATACTATTCCATTGTATGTACGTGACATATTTATCTGTTTATCCTTCAATGTACATTTGGGCTGCTTTGCCGTTTGGCTGTTGTGCATAATATTACTATGAACATGGGTGTGCAAATACTTGCATTCCTGCTTTTGTGTCTTTTGGACATATATCCAAAAGTGGAATTGCTGGATCATTTGGTAATTCTGTTTAACTTTTTTAGGAATTGTCATATTTTCTACAGTGGCTACACTGTTACACATTTCTATCAACAGTGTGTAAGAGTTTCAGTTTCTCTACATGCTTGCCAATACAGGTTGATCATCCTTAATTTCAAAATTTGAAATACAAATGCTATAAAATCTAAAACTTGTTGAGTGCCAATATGATGTCACTATTGGAAAATTCCATGCCTGACCTCATATGACGGATTACAGTCAAAATTTTGTTTTCATGAACAAAATTATTAAAACTATTATGTAAAATTACCTTCAAGCTATGTGTATAAGCTTTTATATGAAACAGAAATCAATTTTGAGCTTAGACTTGCGTCCTATGACCAAGATATCTCATTAAGTATATGGAAGTATTCCAAGATCTGAAAAAAATGAAATTCAAAAGACTTCTGGTTTCAAGCATTTTGGATAAGGGATACATAGCCTGTACTTGCTGTTTGCTGTTTTTTTTTTTTTTTTTTTTATCTTAGTGGGTATAAAATGTTATCTCACTATGGTTTTGATATATGAAGAGGAATTTTAAGGTCTCTTTATCTAAACTTGTGATTTCAGAGATCAAACTCAGATACTGTATTAGCCTGAGCTATTTGGTGGAACATTTCACAATTTTGTGAATCTTTTTAATTATTAGAATTTGCATTTAGGCTTTCAGAGTTTTATGAATACCTAATGGATAGTAATAGACTATGGGCGATTTTTTTCCCTTTTGTTGATTTATTTGTGAGAAGCCACAACCATTCGTATTTTGTGTGGAAGAAAAGATAACGTATTTGTTTTTGTAATTTTATTGAAATGTTTACTAACGAATAAGTGTAAAGTTTGGACATTAAATGGTTTCTCCAGATTAATACACATATACACACCCATCTAAAAACTAAACACTGAAATTTATCGTTTCTGTGAAAAGTGGTTTTTAAACTATTGTCCAGTGTGTTTTGGTATCTTCTCTCCTGCTTCATTTTTATATTTTATAAGAACTCAGCATAAAATATTCCCTATTGCATTTATTTTGAAACTTGCTAGTCAAAACTATTCTTGAAGTCATTATTTTCTCATTTTAGTACTTTTTGTAGCATCTGCATTTTACGTGGTTCTTGGCAGATTTATAGGCCCTACCTAGCAGTTTCTTATCAGGTCTCAGGTCTGGTAGATGTGTTAGCTGAAATTTAGTGATGGTTTTGAAAAGATAACACGGAGAAATACCCTAGCAGTGGGTGGGTGATTAAGTGAGTGTTAAGCTCAGGTACTTGGGTAGACCAAGATCTGAGACATACACACCTACCTTGTACCCCAACAGGGTACACTGAAATGTACATAGTAATACCCTGTACACTGATATTCTTTGTGCAGTTTGTTAAACAGCTTTTTTTACCTTCTCGTTTCAACAAATGTTTATTGGGTACTTACTTTGTGTTTGATATTGTGCCTGGTACTTGTGGATATAGAAATGAGTAAAATAGTCCCTACCCTTAAGGAATTTATAACTTAGGAGTGGATACAGACCTGTAAACAGAATTTAATGTTGATTGCAAACAATGATCTAAATGTGTAAAAAGTGTAGAGATCTTGCAGAGAGAGAGAGAATGATGAATTCTTGAGTATGGCAGGAAGATCAGAAAGGGATTCCTTTGGATCATCTGAGGTAAAATTTGAAGGTGGCATATGAGTTTGTCATTGTTACGGTGGCTATTACAAGTAGTGAGAGGACAGGAACAGTTACAGAAACAGCATGGTATGTTCAAGAAAGTATAAGGAGATGACTCACGTTGGGCATAAAGTGTGGAGATTGATAGATGAGGATTGTATTTCCTCTCATTGGCAAACGTTGCCTTTAAAAACAGCCTGGAAAGATTAATGAGATAGTAGAGGCAAAGATTAAATTTGGATATGATCACTGAGATTAATTGTAAAACTAGGATATATATTGTGTTTTGAAATGCATGTCTTTCTCCCTTCCATCTTTCCCTTTCTTGAACTCTCCTCTTTCATGATCTCCTCCCCGGTGTGTATGTATAGAGGCAGGATAATTGAGGGAAAAAGAGCTACAAATCAAGACACTGGTTTTGTTCCTGGCTCTCATAACTTTGATTGGGAAAAGCACTTTTTCTGTGTTTTGCTCTTCCTGTTCATATAATATCTGCAAACTTATATTATCTATGCATCTATGCTTTTCCAAAGTGTTTTTTTTGAGTCACAGTTTCTGAGTGCCTGGAACACAGTAGGTGCTCCATACATATTTTCAAATGAATGGTGTGATAACTTGTATCAAAAAGTAAGAGAGTAGTTGAGTCATGACAGAGTAAGCAGTAAAAAATTTATGCACATACCCATTGTTTCTCAGGAACACTTACTATATAAAATGTGTTCAAGTAGTTTGTCATTAAAAATGTTTCACTAACCATGTAGATTTTGTGAGGTCCCAGGATATAGAAACTGCAGCGTCTTTATGCATAAAATTCTTTTATTGTCATATAATTAACATCTGTTCAATTGAGAATTACATATTAAAAATGTGTTTTGTTGATCATTTTCTTTCTAAATTTTGGTGTGGCAGTTCTCAGATTTGGATTCTTCAGCTTATGAATGTTTTCTCCTTAATAATGTAATTATAAGTGGACCTTTTTTTCTTATAATCTTTTTTCAGTTCAAAACAAGTGTTTCTTATGCTATTTTTCCATTGTATTTGCAGAATGTTTGCTTTTGGTGCAAAAAATTATAAAAATCCATTTTAATGTCATAAGAGTTGCTGTAATATACCGTTAATATAATTTCTTTACCTCTAGGGTTCCTACTGGGCAATAGACACCAATCCGAAGGAAGATGCGCTGCCTACTCGTCCAAAGAAGAGGGCACGATCTGTAGAACGGGTAAAGATGCTTTATCGTAAATTTAGTAAAATGCATTGAATATGTCTGAAATACAGATTTTGAAAGTTATTTTTCAGTGTAGCACGTGTAACTATAATGAAGGTAAGATTTTATTTGTGTAGCATTTTGCATTTTTCAGAACACTTTGCAGACTCATTTTATTTGATATTAACAACTCTGAGGGGCAGTTTAGGAATTAAGTAAAAGATTTTGTCATAATTAGGGCACAGCTGTTGTTTGAGACTTGAATCCAGCTCTCTTGAGTTTTAATTTGGTATTCTATCCTCTGCATCTACAACATTTAGGAATAGTTTTATGTAACACAACTATTCCCTTCTATTGTAGAGGATCAATTTGGTTACACTGAATTTTCCCCATTGTCCTCAAAATACCATTTCCTGGTTCTGTCCATTTAATAGTCACTTTGTACACAACATTTCTAAGTTGTGTGTGTGTGTGTTGCTTGTAAGATTATTCTTACTTGTGAATTCATGGTTAAAATTAATTTGCAAGAATGAAAGAAAAAAGGAACCTATAGTTAATATCCTAAGTTGTCTATTTTAACATATTTTTAGTCAGTACTTTGACTGCCATCAGCTTTTCCCATCCTTTCTACATTTCCAGCATCTCAACTAAAACATACAAACACATATCCATCCTACCTTCAAGACCCATTTCAAATGTTAACTGCTCTGTGAAGCTTTCCGTTCTTCCATTTGTGTTCTTCTAGAATTTTTATAAAACTCTTTTATAGAATTTCTCATAGTTTGTAGAAATTATTTGTTTTTTGAGACAGAGTTTTACTCTTGTTACCCAGGCTGGAGTGCAATGGCACGATCTCGGCTCACCGCAACCTCCGCCTCCTGGGTTCAGGCAATTCTCCTGCCTCAGCCTCCTGAGTAGCTGGGATTACAGGCATGCGCCACCATGCCCAGCTGATTTTTTGTATTTTTAGTAGAGACGGGGTTTCACCATGTTGACCAGGATGGTCTCGATCTCTTGACCTCGTGATCCACCCACTTCGGCCTCCCACAGTGCTGGGATTACAGGCGTGAGCCACCGCGCCCGGCGAAATTATTTGTTTTTATGTTTGTCTCCTCTGCTGGAATATGTGCCCCTTAAGGGCAGATAAAATATCTTCTCATTTGTATCTCTAGTGTTACCATTTTTTTACAGCTTATAATAAATACCAGTAAATGTTTGCAGCATAAATCAGGGCAAAGAGAGTAGGGTAAGATGAAAGAAACTGAGTAAATGCATGGCCAAATAAGTTTGTTCTATGCCCATTCCAGGTAAAGATTTAAAACTTTTGAGCCTCAAAGATAAAGATCTCAAACTGGGGTTAGGTTGAGATCGCATGAGTCCATGAGGTATAATAGCAGTGAGATTTATTAAGGAAAATTTATTGGATTCAGCAGAGGGAAATCAGTAAGCCAGTTATCAAGATACAAAAAATGAACTCTCAGGCCAGAACAACTTATGACTTTATACAAACCAGAGCTTAAGAAGTTTAGTATCAGTGATGTGGTCTTCTGGTAACAGAACCAGACAGGCTTTTGTTTTTGTTTTTGTTTTTGTTTTCAGTCTCCCTCTATCGCCCAGGCTGGAGTGCAGGGCCCGATCTTGGCTCACTGCAACCTCTGCCTCCCGGGCTCAAGTAATTCTCTTGCCTCAGCCTCCCAAGTAGTTGGGATTACAGGTGCCCACCAACTGATTTTTGTATTTTTAGTAGAGATAGAGTTTCACCATGTTGGCCAGGCTGGTTTTGAACTCCTGACCTCAGGTGATCCGCCTGCCTCAGCTTTCCAAAGTGCTGGGATGACCCACCATGCCCAGCCAGAGCTAGACAGTCTTAGAAGAGATGTTGATAAGCTCGGTATATAATCATTTGAGAAGGAGTGAACATCAGTTTCTGCTTTCCTACCTTTGCCTTTTTTTAAAAAAACATTCCTTTCAGCTGATACCTAGCCTTTGCCTCCTAAAATAGGCTTAGTGCATGAACATTATATGAATAAACAGAGTATAAAACATTTAGTATCTGTTGCCAGAATTTGAAAGAAGGGGAGAAAAATCCACATTTTTAAAAATACATACCATCATTAAACAATTCGGAAAGGATGTTTGAAAGGCTGAAGAATTGTGGTCTCTATTTGCATTTTTCTTCTGAAGGTCTTGGAATTTCAGTTATTTTTGGAAGTTGGAATTGGGTTAACAACTGTGCATTTCTTCTGTATATTAAACTTGCCTTTTATTCTTGTTACCTTGTTTTATTTTCTTAAAGCAATCCCTCCCCATTTTTGAAAGTCTTCCTTTTTTTCTGAGACTATATTGGCAGTTTTATAGTAGAGGCCTAAAGAAATAAAGGATTCAGGTTACAAAAGCATATGTTCTTGAAAGTACATTTTGGATATATATTTTCTGTATTCATTTTCTACTGCTTATTCTTTTGATCAGTTTACGTTTAAAATGTAAAATATTCGGACATTTACTTTTGTGATATATTTTTACAAAATATTCATAACTATACCAGGGCCTGTCAGTTACTAATGCTACTCATTTTGGCCCGAGCTGGGTATTGGTTGCCCCTGTAGGAGAAAAATCTATACCTATGTAAAGAGATTAGCTATAAGCAAAGTGCATATAATTAAGGGGACAGATATTGTTTAACAAATATACTAAAAGATGTGTTCTTACAAAACATAATTCACTGAATTATCTGTTTTTCCTTTAGAGTTAATTTTAGAGTGGGAGGTGAGAGGTTATATAATATATAATATTTTTATTAGGACAGAGTTTGTATTTTAAGTAACCATTGGGTTTTATCTAAGGAAATGCCTAGGACAAATCATGATGGTCCTGAACATGACCTTCAGACATTTAAAGGATAAAGTTACATGTAGATTATAAATACATTGATACCCCTCTAATTACTCACTTTGATACCCCTCAAAGTGATTACTTTGTCCATATGTGAACATTGAAATTCTATGTGAAAAAATAAGAATATATTTCACGTTTTTTATTTTGAAGTGATAAGCTTTTGATGGAACTGAGAAGTTTTTTATTTTTTTCTTTTTCTTTTCTTTTTTTTCTTTTTTTTTTTCAGACTGTCACCCAGGCTAGAGTGCAGTGGTGTCATCATGACTGGCTCACTGCAGCCCTGATCCTCCTGCCTCAGCCTCCTGAGTAACTGGGACTACCACCACGCCCAGCTAATTTTATTTTATTTTTTTGTAGAGATGGGGTCTTGCCATGTTGCCCAGGCTGATCTCAAATTTCTGGACTCAGGTAGTTCACCCACTTCAGCTACCCAAAGTGCTGGGATTATAGGTGTGAGCCACTGTATCTGGCTGAGAAAAGATTTTCTAAACTGCTAAAGAGATGTGATTTTTAAATGCAAGCACAAGCATCTTTATGCCCTAAATGGAAAATAAAGTCTGGCAGTTACCTCCATCCAAATCCCTCCCTTCCTCCGTCCCTCCCTCCATCTGCCCATTCGTCCATCCTTCCCTCCCTCCCTCCCTCCTTCTTTCCCTCCTTCCCTTCCTCCCTTCCTTCTTTGTTTTTTGAGATGGAGTCTCGCTCTGTCATCCAGGCTGCAGTGTAGTGGCACAGTCTTGGCTCACTGCAACCTGCGCTTCCTGGGTTCAGGCAATTCTCCTGCTTCAGCCCCCTGAGTAGCTGCGGCTACAGGTGTGCACCACCACGCCTGGCTAATTTTTATATTTTTAGTAGAGATGGGACTTCACCATGTTGGCCAGGCTGGGTTCATCCTTATATATTTAACTCAGTTCTCTGGAATACTTATCTGTACTCTCCATTTACATGAACATAAGCTTGTGCTCTCTCTTCTATTATTACTGCATTTCTTTCTTCTTTTCTTAATCCATGATTTAGTTTATAAATCTCCTTTTCCTTTTAAAAATTTCTTTCATCTTCTTACTGTTTTGTAATCATATAATGGTCCTGAAGACCTTAAACAAATTGAATAAAATTTCAGCATATTGAAAAGATATTGAATAAAATGGTGAGACAGACTCCTCTAGTAGCGAGTGTCATGTTTCTCTTCTGACTTTACAACTTACTAGTTCCTGTGACTCTTGCCAAGTTGTTAAATTTTTTACACTTCAGTATTCTCAGCTATCAGTAAGAGGCTAGAAGTCAAAACAATAGAAGGTTATACCGAATTTATGTGCCAAATGCTTTTTAAAGGATTTTGTGTGCATTAACTTGTGTAATTTTAAAAAAATAACTCAAAATGATGAAGCTGATGAACATGGATGTTAAGTGAGTTATCCAAGGTACTAAAGAGTACCAAAGCCAGGATTTGAACTTAGATAGTCTGCCTTCAGAGCCTGTACTGTCTACAACTACACTATTCTTCCACTGGTATTTGCTATCCTGAAGACTACAACACTGAATCAAAATTCTTTTTACAGATGCATATTTTGTTGTGAGCTCATCATTCTTGATTTAAAGCAGAATTCCCTACATGAAGTCAAACATATATAATTAGGTAACATAAATGTGATTATAAATGACAGAGCAAATATTAAGTAATGAATTTGTTACACCAACTAAAGTGACTCAAAATACACAATGCTGCTTGGGAAGGCCTCTATAGAAGAGGAATGAGACTTTGAGACTAAGAATTTTGCTGTGAAAGTGGAGGTGGTTTTGCATAGAAAATACTAAAAGATGTTCCACTTGGAGACACAGTATGTATGATTGACTAGAAAGAAGTACAGGTGGACATAATTGAGGACTTTTTTTTTTTTTTTGTAAGAAAGACAGGGTTTCACTGTGTTGGTCAGGCTGGTCTTGAACTCCCAACCTCAGTTGATCCACCCACCTTGGCCTCCAAAGTGCTTGGATTACAGGCATGAGCCACCACGCCCAGCCCAGTTGAGGACCCTTTAAATTATTGTCAAGAGCTTAGGCTAGAGTGTGGAAATTTAGATAAGGAGTAGACAGGTTTGGTAGATAACCTAAAGGTATAA